GTGAAAAATATCAAAAAGACTTTCTACGCAAGCCGGCATTTGCGGCATTTAAAATGCCATTAATATTGCATCAACACCTGCAGTACACGCGCTTAAATAAACATGCACAAAAAGCCGGCGCACTTTACATTAAAACGGTCTGGCCAAAAAACTATTGATGAATAATGAACGTGGCCCCGGAAACAAAGCCAGCGCGACCGCAGATACAGATGCAACTGCAACTGCAGAAATTGCATCCCCGCAGCAACAGCAGCTGCAGCAGCAGCAACATCTGCTGTTCGACTTGTAGGTGACACGACCCGAGTTCAACTCCGGCCATAAATCAGTGGCCAACTGCCTGGCATTGTTTTTTCCACAGCATAAGCACAAGCAAATGGTGCACGATCATATTTATCGCTTTTGTTGCATGTAAATGCTGAATAATTCCTCGATTTATTCCACCAACCCACCAACCAGGTGGAAAAACCATTTATCGCCCGCCTTTGTCCACTTATTAAATCTTTTTTGGCTTTGCCAACTAAAAGTAGTAAACTGAGAATGTTGAAAAATCTTAACTTTAAAATTATAATAAGTATTTGTGGAAATTAAATGCCGCCTAAGTACTTCTCAAATCTAAATTAGTGAAAGCTTACACTCTGAAATTTTAAGCATTAAATTCTATCTGTATCTTGACTTTGCAAATTATTCCATTGCCTTCGCTTATTTTCTATAATCCTCTCAAAAATCTCCTTATCTCATTGCTGATTATATTATTTTCAAATCAAATTGGATGGCATTCAAGGCTGACTAAAATGTCATATTATTAAGGCAACGGCTGCGGCTTTTGTTGCCTTGCAATTAGTCAAGATAATTAGGTGGCAAACGGCTTTCAAGGGCTGCGTCGTTCGCGAGTTGTGACCTTTTTTTAAATGCAAAATAATTACATTCACGTATGTATGTATCTCTGCGCCTCGCTGTTTACTCTTTACTATCTCCCTGCGGTTTTTTATTCTCCCATTTATTCCATAGTTGCCTCGCTTGCCGTGTGTCTGCGGCGAAAAGTTTCAGGCATGTTAATAACACTCATAATTAAAAATTAAATGTTATAATTTCGTGTGTGCTGCCGTGCGGCTTTTTCCGTTTGGCTGCAAATTATTTTCCAGCTATGTGGCAACAGACAATTATTCACGCAGAGCTTACCGTTTCTGATTTTTCCCCCATTTTCCAGGCCCTTTTCCCGTAAAGATCTGTATGTATAATATGTAGGTACCCAGATTGCTGCTCATAAACTTTGCCTGTGCAATTATGCAATGCAAGGGCATGTTTGCCGAGATTCACTACAAGTCATGTATTTTTGATGGTCATCCAAAAAAAAATACAAAATGATCACTCATTTTCCCCACTTTTTCAAAGGACGATGTCGACAAGCACTGGCCAGGCAATAAAAGTTGGCAACTACTTTGCAAGTTTTGCTCGATGTTTTATGGAAGGGAAGAGGTTATGCCAGCTAGATACTTTAAAACACAAATATCCAAACTGCTTCAAAACATTTTGGCAAAGAGGCCGAGGCAATGGGAAATATTTTAAATGTTCCTTGAGTGTTATTGTGCATCTCAAACAAAGCGTCTTTCAGGGCCGCGATGTAATTACCTTTTAAAGGCCATGAAAGACTTTTCCTTGTTTAATTTTGTACGATACTGATGTTGCCATCACTTTTAATAGGCTTTCTTACCCAGAACTGAGAGAAAATGGGTATTTTAAAATGAATTTTAAATAAATAAGACTGGAAATGTGAACTTAAAGCATGTGAATACTTTAATAAGCGTGTTTAGGAAGTTTCCGAAATTAATATGACTTTTTTATCAAAGAAATAAATTATAATCGACGCTTTAATTGCTTTGCTTTTACCATAGCTATTTTATTTAATTGATGATTTTATTTATTATCCTAAAACTATATATATTTCTTTTTATTTACATTCCCATACTTTTGCGCAGTGAATGCTGTGACAAATTTAAGCGAAATCAATTGGATCCGGACCTTAAACTGTGTTGCAAGGCACTTCCCTCACCCAGCTCCCAGCAGGATCTGCGTGCGATGCCACTTTGAATAATTATTGGCGCAGAGACGGAAAGTCAATCAGTGGGAATGCAGCGGGCAATTTAATACAATTGCGGGCCAAGGCGCTTATTCAATTAATTACTTGAAACAGTGCGTCAAAAAGCGCCCAAGTAATGCAGAAAAAGCCGAGTAATTATTTTACACTTTGCTACCGCTGTCGCTCGGCGATTTTCCACCATTTTCCACCAGGGGCCGCGCGATGCGGAGGCTGCATTTTGATGAAGTTTTTCCGCGGCACTCGGGCAGTTGTACTCGCAGTTGGTTGGTCAGTCCATCTGTCGCCTGCCTGTGCATAATAAAGTTTACTTTAAGTTTGTTAAATCCATGCCCAGCCCAGTAATGTGACCCAGTTTTCGGGTGGGGCTCTGCAATTATCGACATCTGATTAAATGAAATCAAAGACAGGCACTCGGAAACCCAAAGGCAATATAAATTCGCATAAATTCGCCACGGCGCTTTAAATGTCAAGTGGGGCTCGTCCATCGATTTTTCTGCCTCGATGGTTGCTGGGGTCATTTATCAATATGTAGATTTCGCTGGGAAAGTTCAATGGGTCCGCAGGCACAAGCACACACATACTCACCCATGGACCCCTCGCCGTATAAATTGCGTAATTTTTTTTCACGCACACACAATTGGAGATAAATTGACTGATATGCATGTTGTGGGCCGCCGTCGTCTGTCTGGCAGTTTGATGTATGCGTCTGCCCGGCAAAGTGTCCACCTACCGCCCATTTTCCACTCTACTTTCACTTTCCTCCTCTTTGATTTTTTCTTTAAATAAATCGACGCCCCAAGCCACTTCCGGTGACTGCACTAAAATGCCAGACAAGAGCTTAATGGCATCAATTTCCTGCAGCCCGAAATTTAAATGGATCCATGACAACACCTCCTCTAAATTCTATTATTAGCCCAGTTCAATTTTGATTTGGCATTCGTCGAAAAAAATGTTGGTTAGCTGAGATCCTTCCATGGTTTCCGGCTGATAAAATTACAATTTTTAAAAGAATTTTAAAGAGAGCTGTTCAATCACCTCTTTAAAGATTTTCTTTTCATTTCGTAGCAGTTAGTTTTTTTTTTTTTTGTAATTATTATTGCATGTTGAGTTTGCATTGCGTTATATTTGACCACTATTTTAGACCAGCCAAGATGAAGTTAGACCTCACGATGAACGAACGCTACAATCAGCGATTCCAGTCGGTATATACCGGACTGGTTCCTCAGATCACCCGATTGGTGCCCTTCAACGACTCGGAAGTGACCTGCATCCTGATGATCTACTACAAGTACAGCCTCCAGAACGGACCCTCTGCTCGCCGGATAACCTCCACTCAGTTCGTCAACATTGTTATTGGATTCCAGCAGCTATACGACATGGATGTGGTGGATCGAATTGTGACACTGATCTCGGGGGGCAGGAAGTATGTGACGCCCATGGAGTTCGTCAATTACATGACCATCCTCATGACTCGGGATATGGAGCGCAAAATGGAGTTTGCATACATGGTAATGTTACGGGTTTATCGAAATAAATTAATAATTTAATTTTAAGGTCTACGACAAAAATGGTATGGGCATTAATCGAGAGATAATTTCATCTGCGGTCGAGAGGTTTTTCCCCGGGGACGACGACGAGGTGCTCGAAATGCGACTGGTGAGCTGTCAACAATCAATTCAATCATATTGTATATGTTTCTTTTGCTCACTTAGGACATGGTCGATTTTCTACTCCTGAAATTTGATGAGGACCAAGACACCATCATCTCATTTGAGGAGTACAGATCGATCGTGTTGCAACAGCCGGGCATGCTCGAGTTCCTGGGTCCCATTTTTCCCTCAGACGAGACGCGTCTGGTGGTCGCCTACTGCACGGCCATATACTCTCGCATCCCCGAAATGGGCGTGTTGTAGGTGGATGGGTGGGATGTAGGGTATATGGCAGTTTGCCAGGACTCCCCCAGTCGCATAAATCTTTCAGGCACAAATAAATCGAAAGCAATGCAAATCAGTGCGACCCCGCCACCGCGTTTTCCTCTGTTCAGCCATTGTAGCCACTCGAAAATGTCAATGACAATGATGATGAACTGCAGAATAGAGCGCTGACAGCTGCAACTAGACTCTGGATAGATGGATGGATAGATGGGGCATATATAGGAGACATCAGCTGCCTCTCAGCCACACAAAGAAAAAATGATTGGTATTTTAATGTAGCTCTTAAAATCGAGATAACAAAAATTTAAAAAGGTATAGCAACAAAGATTTGAAATGCTGAAACAAGAACTAAACAATTTTTAATTTGCAATATATAGATTAATAACTACAAATTTTTATAAAGAAAAATCATTTTTTTTATAAATAATTATTTATAAATATTTTTAAAATATTTTTTTTAGCTTGTTACGCTTTTGTCCAGTGCACTCCCTGCTTCAGTGGCATAATTTTAAATATGGAGCGGAGCTCCAGAAATACTTTGCTCTGGTTGAACGCTCCACTGGCTCGACGACTGCCTTTTGCCATTGCCTCATGACAGCTTGATTTGTTGGCAGTTGGCATACAATTGACATTTGATGGATGGTGTTCTACATTGTCGGGACATTCTCCATTCCAGCCTTCTAACTGCAGTCGCCGACCGTTGGGCCACTGCAGGCCCTTGAAGTTTTCCTCTTGACTGGTTGCTCTAATTATGACAATTCCATATTGGGGTGCACCATTTAAAGAATTTGGGTTTTTGAAATTGGTGAAAAAAATTTTTCGTTTTTATATGGGTTACTCTGGTTCAATTTTAAGGTATAACATAGTATAAAATATGCTTTTAGTTATTCGCGTATAATGACCTTATGGATTAAGATTAAATTGCTGATAATAATGGAAGATACAATATTGTTATTTGTAATATTTTACTAGGTGAGAGTGCCATAAGGATTAACCGATGCCCATTTTATGCCGTAAGCATACCAATCGCTAAAAAATCCATAGGCAGATTTTGGAAACGGCAATACATCTGACAATTGTTGGTCTAAATACGAACACGGCACTTTTTCAACTATGATGTCATGCTAATATATAATTACTTAAATGGTTAGATATATAGTAACTAGCAATGGCTTTAAATCACTTACGTCAAAGGGACATGAATGATTTATGTTGGAATAGGGACTAAAGAGGTTGAAAATGAATGTTGTCACAGGAGAATATTTTTGATTTGTCATAAATTTGCACCCATCGACCGTTACGTTGTAGAGGAATGGCTTATAGCCGTTCAGCCGTCGATATATGGCGAAATTTAACTGCAATTAAGATTTTGAATGTGTCAACAAATATCATAAGCACAAACTTCATACTTTTATTTGAGTTATGGGCACTTTGTGAAGTTTTACTTTCAAAGATCCGTATTTGTATGTTCTATTCACAGACTTTAGATAGCAAAACTCAAATGATGAAAATGATTCGTCGAAGGAAGTGCACTTGAGATTTCTAAACTCGAAGGCAGAGTGGGCCTTAAGATAAAAGAAATAATTAACAGAAAATAATTTAACACATGTACCCACATTTTGGACCTTTAAAAAGACCAACAGCAGCGAAACGAGCACAGACGATTTCGGATACATTGCGAGCACTGAATAAATAGAAAATAATTATAGAAAATATATTTTCTATAGAGTTAACTATTTTATTCGTGCCCCTCACTCATTAAATTGTCATTACTTACGTATGTTCATCCAAAAAAGCACTTTTAAATCTGGATATTATGTTAATTGCTAAGATAAATTTATCAAATATCAAACTATTGCCATTTCGAAACCTTTATTTATATTAAATATATTTTTATATATTAAGTTAGAGTACCATGAACATTAACGAATGCTCGTTTTATCCCATCGGCATACCAATCGCTGTAAAATCCATAAGAAGATTTTGGAAACGGCAATACAACTGTCAGTTGATCGTTTAAATAAGAATAAGGCACTTTTTCCACAATTAAGTCATGCTGCAAAATAACTTTTTAAATAGGTTGAGATTCACTGAAATGCACTTACGTCAAAGGGACACGAATGATTCATGTTCGAATAGGGAGCAAAAAGGTTAAAAATAAACGCGGCCACTGGAGAAGCTTTTTGATTTAATAAGAATTTGCACCCATTGACTGTAACATTATAAAGGAATGGCTTGTATCCGTTAAGTCGTTGATACAATGCAAAATTAACCTTAAAATAAACTAATGGTTAATTTGTTAATGCTTTCATAAAAATCCTTACTTTAATTTTGTGTATGGGCACTTTGAGAAGTTTTACTTTCAAGGATCCGTATTTGTAAGTTCGATTCATAGACTTCAGATAGCAATAGTCGAACCTAGCAAATGATTCGTCCAAGGAAGTGCACTTTATATTTGTTAGCTCAAAACCTGAAAAGGTCTTCAGAAAAATATAGTTATGAGGGCTAAAATTGCTAAGATGTCGTTTATAATTACTCACTTTATGGATTACTAAAAAGAGCAGAAACAGAGAAAAGTGCACAGAAGATTCCCCAGACATTTTGAGTGTCAAATAATACTGATGGAATTTTGAATAAAATATGCTTTTTTATGACTTTATCCCATATTATAAACGCATTAAAATCAAATTAAAACGACCCATTAAATAAAAACTTGTTAAAAACATTTAATTTAAATGATGATTTTAGTTCATTCATAAAAGCTTTTAAGGCTGTCTCAAAAATTTGAATTTATAATTGCCGAAAATGAAAAAACATGCGTTTGTCGTTTAAAGACACACAATAAAAACAGCCAAAAGGAAACCGTATTCTTTGGGATTAATTAAAAATCGGTCTTGACTCTTTCCAAAGGCAAGGCTAATGGCTAGAAAAGTGAGCACATTTGCATAACAGTCGGAAAGAAATTCGAACCAAGTAACGAGTCAGTGAAACATGAAACAAAAAGTCAACAAACAAAAGTCTAATAAGAAGAGTGTTGGAGGTAAGTGGAAAACTCGAGATCGCAGTCAAAAATTTGTCAAACAAAGAATTCTGGTTACCCTTCCTAATGTTTAAAAATTTAAAATATTTTTGAAATTTGAAATAGCCAATTAACATTTATTTTTAATTATTAATTTTTAAAATATTTTCGTCATTTTTATTGCAATTTTGATTTATGTTTATATTCGGAAAGTCAAGATAATTCTTCAATATTTATTCAAATTCAGTAAAAATTCCTTTTTGGGACAAGAATCAGCTGTTTTTCAGTTTAACCCTGTTCTGATCACTGCCGTCTAAGTCGCTCGCATTTGTAATTATTTATGCAAAAATTCTTACCAAACAAACTTAATTTAGTTAAATGTTTGACTTTAGGCAGGCGCTCGTTGATTAACGGACTGGAACGGGTGCCGAATGCCCTGCCATGCCCCCGGCTATGCAAATAACAATGGGGGCGGGAGTGGGGATGGGGCGCCACTTTCCTTCAGCCGTGCAATTCATTTACTTTGCTGTTGTTAACTCTGGGTGTTTGAGTTTGCCACTCGAACTTGCGTGTAAACATGCATGATTAAGCTGCCAGTGAGACTGCGATGAAGGCGCAAATTAGCATAAGGCAGCACAAAAACCAAGGAATGTGAATTAGGGGCACCCAAAATGGTTTCAGACCTCTTTTAACACACATATTCATTCAAATTTTACATTAAATTGTGTATTGAAGTGCTGTTATTAGGTGTTACTGGGGGACCACTTTTAACGACCTAAAATAAGTTAATAACATTTGGTATAATATTTCAAATAAAATTGTCTTGATCTTGATTTTAAAATGATTTCTTTGAATCTATATTTCTGATCATTTAACTTGGTATTTTTAAGAAAAAGACAATGAAATATATTATCAGAATTATCGGAAATCAAATATATAACATGGGTTCTACAATAATTTTGTTTACAGGAATAAATAGGAATTTTTGTAGTGAAAGATGGCTTATTAAATACTTTTAAAATTTCCAAACAGCTAAGATATATAATCAAATTGAAGCGAAAATTCACGACAGTCAGGTGCAAGAATATATCGATCCGGCTGAAGAATAGCCGAAGAATGCAGAGATGATGATGCCAAGAAACATTCCAGACCGAGACAGAGACGGGGAATTCAAAGGGAAAAGGACAGCGAGAAGCTTGCACTCAGCGCATTGCATTGCAAAGTGAACTCCACTTACACGGAGTAAATAAATAAAAAGGATGCCCGAACAGAGCTCACAATTTATGGATGCACTTGCCAGGAAAGGACAATGGCTGGAAAAATGGGGAAAAATACGAAAAGGCGAAAAAACAAAAAAAAATGAAGAAAGCCAAACGTAGACAAATGTAAAATAATACGTGACAATAATGCTGCCAATGGCTGTGTTGATTAGGCTGCTTTATTTATGGACCGCTTTCCGCTGCGACAGCTGATCCACATCCTTTTCGACTTTGGACTCCTGAAAAAGGATGAGGGACTCCCGGACTCGTTTCTGTGGGATGTCCAATCGTTGGTAAATTCATTGAGCTGCCGCAATCCGGACTTGATCTGCAGGTTTTGTGGCCCAACTTGCTCTTTGGGCCTAATGAACCGAGCAGCCCTCCGAGCCACCAATGTGTGTGTGTGTGCGTGTGTGTCTGTGTTGGCCAAGTAAATATTATTTGATGCTGTGTCGAAAGCCATTTCCAGGTGGTATGTGTTTATGCATAAAATATTTACAAAGTTTCGTGTCTCCGTGTGGCTTTCGCCGAGTCCAATTTGCCCAAATGCAGAAGTAACATTTGAGGCGAGCTTGTGTGGCAATTCGTTTCCTCTCTCTCTCCCTGTCTTTTTTTGCCTCTTATTATTCCAAGTTTATTTAGGAGCCGGAATCCGGAGGAGCATTCAGGCGGCGGAGGAGGCATGGAACACACCACATCAAAGCATAGCACGTGGCACGCATGAGTGGCAATGGCCAAAAGTACAGCGGCCGTAGGAGCTGGAGGAGCATCTGAAGCCCAGGCAGCAGCCCCAATTGCATTGCCATTGCCCCGAGTTGACCACAAAACATGCGCCCGGCTACGAAAACCAAGCCAAACCAAGCCAAACCAAGCCAACACAAGCCAGGCTAAAAAAGAAAACACGGCAAACGAAACCAGGATAAAGGAAATCTACACCGAAAGTATATTGCATTGCAAATTTTTTAATTGTAGTTGTTTGACTTGATTTGTGTAAATGAATTAGAATAATTAAAACAAGCTTTTACACTTTGTAAATGTAATTTTATGTTAATCAAATAAATTATATATATTATTAAGAAAATAAACTGTGGGTATAAAATATTTACCATAAATTTGCAAAAATGCTAAATAAAATAGATAAACTGAGCAATATATGTTTAAAAATTTTATTCGGCTATTTTACATATTATATTTCTAAGCTTTTGAAATTTATATGCATTTTAAATAAATCGAATAAAGAGAATCAATCAATTTGTTAAATTAAATTAAACATTTTGCAACCTTTTAGCCCCAATTAAATTGTCCACCTTTTTTCAGTAATTGATAAATTTAAGTCCTTTCTCTGACTGTAAAACAACAACAGTAACAGAGCGGTAAATCAACTGCTGACCAGTGTACGGCTGCAGTTACGTATGTGAATTTGTAATCTAAACTTTTATACTCGTTGACTCGTTGCCTCGTTTTTCCATCAACGGCGAACAGGAAACGGAAATTGCTGCTGTTGGCCCGTTGACAAAAACACGACACTTGCACCTCAAGTTGCCAGGAACTTTCAACTTGATTTTCCGAGCCACTACAACAGCAACAACAACTACAATGATGGCCAGGACATTATGCGACTGGCAATTGCTTACGGTTTTGTTGTCCTGTTGTCGAGCAATGTGAATGTGTCCATGATTGCGATTGCAGGTAGAAGAACACACACTCACACACATAGCCGATCATGTTGTTCCTGTTTTTGTGGCCATTTTGTCCATTGGGCCATTGATTAAGCGTGGCCAGCTGGCTGGGACTTTCCGACCCGCTCTTTTGGCCACGTTCACTCAATCAAAGCAAACTAAAAGTTTGTGCTACGGGTTTAACCTCAGTTTGCATTCTTTATGAGTGTTTCTCCTGCCCACACTTTGCATTCTTTTTCGTTCTTTTTTTTTGCCTTTTTCCCTTTTTGCCTTTCCGCTGCCTTTGAATGTTTAATGCAAATTGATTTACCCGCTTCTGTTTTGCCTTTTTCACCAATGCCACCAACTTTTTGCCTAAACGAATTTGCGCAAACGGCTTTAAGTTACAATTAAGCCCGCTGGGAAGGAGGAGCGCGAGCGCCATTGCAAGTTGTTAACTGATTTTACAGCCCACCTTTGGTTCGCCGAGCTACCGGTTACCAGTTGCCAGTTGGCTGCACATTTGCGACAGCACACGAAAAATTTTAACTTAAATTACTTTTCGTAATAACTTTATTTTGTAATTTACGTAAGTAGAAGTAACATTTATGCAGCTGCATAAACCGCCGGCGAAAGTAGCTGACAAACTATGACGGCGCACGTAAAAAACTTGGGGCACAAGTCTTTGCGAATTTGCGGGAAAAATTTGCGGTTATAAAGGGGGCGGAAAAACTGTAAGGATGTGGAAAACCCCAAGCAGTTGCCTTTCATTCGGCCTTGGTCCGCAAAAACTTGATGCCACTCAGCTAGATAATTTGCATACGGAAATGGCTGAGCTCTTTGATGGTTTTCCACGATCTTTGGGAATCTATAGGCGACGCCACCTGTCTGGAAATGGGTAGTAATACCTCCTAGTGGAAGTGCTAGTGCCACCCAAAACTCCAATGGCATTTTAAATTTTTAATACAGCACTTGCCCGAAGGGAAAATGAGAGCGAGCGGGCACGTTGTTTTTCTTTCGCCTGCGTAATGAGGAAAAGTTTCGCTACATGCAATTTGCTCTTGTTCCCTGTTTCTCAGCTCTCAGTTCTCAGACTTCCCAGTACATTTTTATTTTACTATTTTTGCCGGTCTACTTGTCCTTGCAAAATGCCATTTGCATTTGGCAAAAGCACAGCCATAACGGCGAGAAGAAAGCAACACACTTACCTCAATAGTCAAACGAAACAAAGCAAAAGTGCGGCATACTTTGTGGCGCTTGGCATGCCAAACATGTGCCCCCCATTTTGGTCCTCCGGCTGACATACAAATCATTTTGCCGAGTACCGAGTACCGAATGTCGAGTGGGGAGCCATAATGCAACTGAAATGGAAGCCACTGGGAAAAAGCCTATTTTGTAAACCCGGAATATCCAGCTAGGCAGACCTTTTGAAAGCCAGGCAACTACACCCAAAAAAGTGATATCAAACGAAGATCGATTTATTGTTCTGTATTTATATTATAATTTAAGTTAATTGTTTATTGATATTTACCTTATGTAATGATACTAATAAAACTTGGAAAAGAGCTAAAAAACTAAATTTTATTGTGAATTTTATTCACTCACTGCTGCAGCACTGCAGATAATTCCTTTGTGTGCTCAAAAAGATCCTTGATTTGGTATGC